CCAGTAGCTCTTGATTCCCCTGAGCTGAGATCGCCTTTCGAAAGTGGATAGTTAACGCATGATTTTAAATGTTGACGTGGAAATATAAAATCGTGATTTTCAGAAGATTATAGTCCCAGTGTCGCGGCCGCGACACCCGTCGCGGACGCGACAGTTGTTTTTTTTTTAAATAACGAATATATATTAGTTATGTCATACACATAACGAAAACATAATCGTTATAAAAAAATAGTTGAATGTCACGGCCGCGACAAGTGTCGCGGACGCGACACTGGGACATGTGCAATGGACAGAGATTATGGCCCCAGTGTCGCGGCCGCGACACTGGTCACTAACGCGACAATTTTGGTGCTGTACATCGTATGGTGTTGTACACCATATATGGTCTAGTGTGTAAATGTGCTCTAAATCATATATTTTTAAAAGCAACAGTTTTGATTCAAACGGTACATATATGTATATGTATCAAGTAATAACACTCTACAACTAATAACACTAAATCACGTTTTATATTAATGTAATCAAGTTAATCACGTTTAAATATGCTGTACACCGTATATAACACTAAATCACGTTTTAACAATATTTTTCCACCGCAAATTACATGACCAATCCCAATGTCATGCTGCCTTTTCTCTTCATTTTTTTCATTGAGCATTTATTTGTTTCACAACAGCTGTTGCTTGAGGTGTTTAAAACACTATATTATCATACAAAGAATTTAGAATAATTACCAAACTTAAAATTAAAAAAAAATTGGTGAGTAAGACTTAGGAAACACACTAGTAACCGGTAATTAGAAAACAACCATAAGATTTGTTTATGGTTATTAAAAACGATTTGTTTAGAAAACAAATTTTTTATATAACTTATAGTGTATAAAATTTATTTAAAAAAGAAACGTATATCGAAATGTGCAGTAAATCACGTTTTATATTAATGTAATTAAGTTAATCACGTTTAAATATGTTGTACACCATATATGGTCTAGTGTGTAAATGTGCACTAAATCATATATTTTCTTAATTTCTTATTCTGACAAGCATTTGGGATGTTATGAGGGAGATTTACTTTTCTTGATAATGTAATGGATTTCAAGTTTATTTTTCAGACAAGCATTGGTAGTATGGATACTTCATTAACCATTTCAATGAGCTATATATATGATGAGTTGTGACAACTCAAGACATGTCTTTAAGCTTTTCTGCATAATACTGGAATGGACTTGTGACAACAGTTTGATATGATCGAAATATTTGATAACTCATGTATGATTGAAATACGGTTTATTTACGGAAACCGTATTCTGAAAATATATTTTCAATTAAAAAAATTCACTCAATAATAAATTTTACACATTTTTTATATAACTTATAGTGTATAAAATTTATTTAAAAAAGAAACGTATATCGAAATGTGCACTAAATCGTTTTATATTAATGTCATTGAGTTAATCACGTTTAAATATGTTGTACACCATATATGGTCTAGTGTGTAAATGTGCACTAAATCATATATTTTCAAAAGCAACAATTTTTATTCAAACGGTACATATATGTATATGTATCAAGTAATAACACTACAACTAATAACACTAAATCACGTTTTATATTATATGCTATTATAATATAATATACTATATATATATGATATACTATAGTATACTATTATACTTTAATTGTACGAAATTGACTTCAATCGTTCAAAATTTGACTTCCATCGTTCAAAATTTGGTCCAATGCAAGAGAAATCAATGACACCTAATAAAGAATCCAATGATGCAAAGTAGTAATAATCACATGACATTGTCTAACTATAATGTAGTGTAATAATGATCACACTTGTCCGAAATTATTACATTTAGCATTGTGTTGGTCAAATGTCTTTCATATGGCATTGTCTGAAAAGGAATCCAATGGTTAGAATCCAATAAAGTAATAACATGGCATTGTTCAATTTACTACAATCATTTTTCAAAATCTGAATATATGCCCTAAACCATATATGGTCTAGACTTAAATCCTACAGTTGGGATTTTCCATTCAGTTTACTACAATCTTTTTTCAAAATGTGAATATACGCCCTAAACCATATATGGTCTAGACTTAAATTGGAAAAAAATCGAAAAAAACATATGTAATATAATTAGGCAATAATTAATGAGAGTATGTTAAGTAGGTAATATAATTCCGCCCAACACATCAATTAAGAGGATATTGTTTTGGATTTTTATTCCATATCATAAAAGAAAAAAAAATGGGAAAAACATATCTAATATAATTAGACAATAATTAATGAAAACTTGTTAAGTTACTATATTTAGGCAATAATTAATGTTTTGGTGGGAAAAGAATACTAAAAGTGAATTAAGTTAATTTTTATTATATATTAATAGATGTGCAATTTTATGATTTGATTTAAATTTAATATCAATCTTATTAATCAATAATTAATATATATTCATAGATATGTAAATTTTAGCAAGCATAATGCATTAAAATGTAATTTGTAGAGATTATTTAATAAAATAATAAAATTAGAAAAGAATATGTTTGGAATATTCTTTTAGAGGGGAATTAACTGTTCAAACTGTAAAACTGGGGGGAATTTACTGTTGAAACTGTAGGGATAAAGTATATGGTTGGAGATGCTGTAAGTAACACATATCTTCTTAAAATAATTTGTAAGTTATATAGCTTACATTTGAAAAAAAAACATCATGTTAAGAAAGCAGCTCCACCAGAGCAAGAAAGCAGCTCGGACTAGGCATTGATTGTAAATTAAGTTCCTCAGCATCAGTAAAAATAATAATAATAATAATAATAATAATAATAATAAAAAGTTCCTCAGCATCAGCATCAACTTCCACCAGAGCCGGCAAGAAAGCTCTTCCACCGCATCATCACTAAAAACACAAAATTAATAATTTAAAATAATAAACAAGCTGTTTTAAATAATTAAAATAAAGCTAATAATTACTGACGAAAATTGAGTTAAATTACAACAAATCATACACAAAAATTTAACATACTAACAATCCAACATACCTATGGATGTGGATCAAAGGTAAGATTGATCCTTTACCACAGAGATGAGACGATCGTGCGGCAAGTCCACAAATGCAAGAGCTCCAAGGTGGTGCGTCTCTAGCCATGTGCAAGCCCTCATGCCCTCTGGAAATGAAACCGCACCGCTTAATATGAGGTCTTTTATTCTTGTCGCAGCTATTCTTGCCGCATCCAGATCATTGACCACTGCAGAGGGCCGAGAGTTGGACGCCGATGAGTGAGAATTGGATGCAGCCCTCTGAGCTGAGGGGTATAGGCGGGGGAATTGCATAACATTCCCACAGTCCCGGCAGGGACCAAATGCTTGATTGATCTTGTCGTTTAAAATAAGTCCCTGCAAAATTTCACGAAAAGAAGACTTAGGATAGGATAGTCAATTTTAACCTCAAGCCTAAAATCCTATTTTATTCCTGCTTAACCCTAAACCCATGTTTTATACACTCTAAATTTTGTAATTTTGATTGTTTGCTGATAAGCATAATCTTAAAATTCAAACACAAACAATGTGCAGCAAGAACTTACCCTGCATCTAAATCGTGTCCTCAGGGATTTGGCTCTGTCATAGACCTGATAATCCTCGATCGTAATGTCCGACTCTTCATTTAATATTCTTGCCATCTCCCTCCAAATGTTTCTGTCATCGAATCGAATTGGGATTCCATTGAGGTGACCATCTAGAGACCACCTAATTTGGATTAATAGGTCTAATATCCTGTCATCGATAGGATCATCCTTCACGATGAAAAAAATTGTTAAAATTATTCCCAAAAATGATTTTTTTCTAACTTATGGCATCAGGCTGCCTAGCTTTCCTAATGATAGATAGTACTGTCTTCAAGCAAAGAGTTAAGGCAAGTAGTGTAGTTTTTGCACTTGCCGAGCTATTCTCATCTCAGTTAACAACAACAAATATTACAAAATCAAGCATATGAGGTCGCTGGCTACAGCAACACAAATTACAGTACACAACAACAACAACAACAAAGAGGTTCTCTCTTGTTGACTGTACCCTGTTGTTGTAGTTCAGTAATGCAACTATCAATAGTACCATCAAATTGCAATTTAAAGTTGGAAAGAAGTTTAAGTATCCAAAGATAACAGTATGTTCTACCTTTGAGTTATGAATAAGTCGTATTAATTTTCTCTCTTGTTTTCAGTATCAATAGTACCATCAAATTGCAATTTAAAGTTGGAAAGAAGTTTTAGTATCCAAAGATAACAGTATGTTCTACCTTTGAGTTATGAATAAGTCGTATTAATTTTCAGTATCCAAAGAAGCTACAGCAACACAAATTACAGTACACAACAACAACAACAACAAAGAGGTTCTCTCTTGTTGACTGTACCCTGTTGTTGTAGTTCAGTAATGCAACTATCAATAGTACCATCAAATTGCAATTTAAAGTTGGAAAGAAGTTTCAGTATCCAAAGATAACAGTATGTTCTACCTTTGAGTTATGAATAAGTCGTATTAATTTTCCTAGTGTTTTGTATTTGGCAGGTGAAAAGGAATATTATATTTTCAGAAAATGAATATTCTATTGTGTTTTTTAAACTGAACTATAAATGAGATTTAACAGTTATTACATATTAGCAATCAAAAGATTATTTAAGAGCACAAAATCAACCTGTTCTCCAACTACTAAAGGTGAAAATTGTCACTTTCTTTTAGTTTCAATTAAACCTGCCAATCTTTTGTAAGTAGAAAGTTCACTTAGGTTACATTTTGGGTGAGAAGGATTTGGAATTGAGAGGAGGATTTGCTTAAGATTCCAAACAAAGGGAGCTGCAAAAACCCACGAAAAAACAACCCAATAAACTAACACAAAGTAAGGACTTGAGTTCGATATAATGCAAGAGTGCTGACCCTCTTTGCAGAAAGGAACATACAACTTCGCACAATCAGTCCACGGCTTTGCATTATTGGGTATCTCCCCTGTGGCGTATCTAGTCAAGGCCTTCGGAAATGTCTTAGGAAAAGACATGTCAAATTTCTCACGTATAAGACAAAAATCGTGTCCAAAACAGCACAATCTTGTCTAAAAAAAAGAGGGAACTGTTTAGACCGCTCTCGAATGTGAAAAAACGCCTCATCTACATGCTAAGAGTATAATGTTTATTAGATTAGTGAATATCACGCTTTTGAAGGTAAAATATTGAATAAATTTTTGTAAATAGTTTACCTCACTAGAAAGCCATCCATCGTTCACAAGTTTATTAAAAAAATCTTTATTTGCTGTACCACCAGAGGACAACGGAACTACAAGACTACATAAAAAAGAATACATTAAACAAAGAAATACAACCTTATATATTACAATAAGTAGCCCACAATTAAATTTAACACAATTACATACGTTTTAGGGGAGCTCGACAACCAGCTTTGGAGATCTTCAAGTTTAGCAGGATCCACTGGCCTAAAAGGGTCGTACTCCGTAACAATTGTAAATTTTTTTCTTTTTTCCACGTTTCTATACGGAGTACATAGAACGGCAGCCGGTCTTTTCTTCTGGAACCCTCTCCCCTTAG